GCAAGTTCACTGAAACCTGTGGGCAGCCCCGTGGGTCAGCAGCCCTGCTGGGGCTGGGGTGAGGTCTCTGCTGTCATCTGTGGAGCAGGCTGCCAGGTCTCTCCTGTGGGCTAGCTGGCTGCATTTCAGCCCCCAGCCTCTGGATAATACCCAAAGGCTCAACTGTCCCGTCACTAGGGCTGAAGCTGTTGGATCTTCATCCTATCGTCCAGCCTCACTGTGCTGGCACAAGAACCTCCGCTGGCTGGCAGGTAGACAGGGCGGTCCCCTGGCCAGGAATCAAACCTGGGCCTCCCACACCGTTAGGTGCCAGTCACCTCCGGCCTGTAGTGACCTGCGCCGCCGTCCTCGCCATTGTTCCTACGCCCGAGCCCACCGTGGCGGCCACTGGGTCAGTGCATCTCATGGAGGGCCTTCCTCTTCCTTGCTGCCCCTCCGCTTCTCCAGGGACTTGTCTCTCCTGGCAACATGTCAGATACTTGCCGTCTTTGTTTCTAAGGAGCTCTCGCTGTACTACTGAGACAGATTGGGTTGTCCTCCCTGGTACTTTATAGTTTTAAATGTTGCTTTCAGATGAAGAATAAATTCCAAGGTTCAGAAGGCTCATCTTGCTTCCCCAGAGTGGCTCGGGGTCTTGAACAGCTGACCTTGTAGTCCACAACACAAGGAGTTAGCCGCCACGCCACCGTAGCTCCTGTCCATGGTACTTTCCATATTCTCCAGGCATCGATTCTTCAGCTTCCTTAGTCAGCGCTCACCTTTCACATGCATATGATGCAGTGGAGAACACCATGTTCTGTAATACTCTAGAGAGGGCTGTGCAGCAGATTGACCTAATGCAATATGTCTTTTTATCTCTTGACTGCTCCTTCCACGAGCATTGCTTGTGGGTCAAAGCAAGACAAAATCCTTGACAACTTTGTCTTCTCCATCTCTCATGATGTTTCTTACTGGTCCCCTTGTGAGGATGTGGGTCTTCCTTACATTGAGTTGTCATCCACACTGAAGGTACAAGCCTTGATCCCCATCAGCAAGTGCTTCAAGCCTTCAACATTTCAGCAAGCAAGGTTGGTCATTCTCGTGTCAGGTTAACAAGCCTTCCTCCAATCCTAGTGCACCTTCTTCACATAATCCATTTTCTCTGATATGCTCAGCATACATATTGACTAAGTATGGTGAGAGGATACAACCCTGATACCTTGCCTGATTTTGAACCATACAGCATTCGCTCAACTGCCTCTCGATCCATGTTCTGAATGAGCGTGATGAAGTGTTCTGAAATTCCCATTGTTCTCAAAGCTACCTAGTTTATTAACATCTACACAGTCGAATGCCTTTCAGAGTCAACGAAATACAAATAAACATCTTTCTGGTGTTCTCTGCTTTGAGCCGAGATCCATTTGTCTCTTGTTCTACGTACTCCTCTTTGAAATCCTGCTTGAACTTCTGGCTGCTCCCTGTCAATGTACAGCTGCAACCATTTTGGATGGTTCCACAGTCTCCCACGTGGAAGGTGGGAATTCCACCACAGGAGTCCAGCTGTCCCCCTGAGGTCCTTAGAAGAACTCCACGTGACAGCAGAAGCAGTTCAGTCAGCCAGGGCGCCCAAAGCTAGGGGAGGTGAGGAAGGTACACCCCATCCCTCATCCCCCATCACTGTTAGAAGCTTCAGAGGAAGCATGGCCTGGCCACCACCTTGGCTTCTGCCTTTTCTTAAGATCCTCTTTTTTCTCTAAGGAGTTTTGGTGGCCTAGTGATTGTGTTGGGCTGCTAACTGCAAGCTCAGCAGTTCAAAACCACCAGCTTCTGTGTCGGAGAAAGACAGGGCTTTCTACTTCCTGCGAGAATCTTGGTAACTCCCAGGGGCAGTTCTACCCTCTCCTATTGGGTCGCTGTGAGTCGACATGTACTGGATGGTCGTGAGCTTGGTGTTGCTTTATTTTCCTTCTCTATTTGATGTCTGCATTTCATTGCAATGGTTACACAGGAAAGAAAAAAGAATGATTGAACGGTCTATTAAGGCAGTTGACAAGTTGTGGTGGCAGTGAGAAATGCTCAAGGGCATGTGACAAAGTGTCGGGTCTGCTAACAATTGTCCAAAGGGGCTGTGTTAGTCCGGTTGACGAGAGAAACTTCCAGAGACACTCATCTGTGTGTAATAGAGAACTTTGTATCAAACAGTAATTGTATATTAAGAAATCAGCCCAGTCCAGATCAAGTCATTGGTCCGATATTAGCCCATATGCCCGATACCAGTCCATAATTTCCTCTTCAGACTCACACAACACATGCAATGATGCCGAGTGCAGGAAGATCACAGACCAGTGGGTGGAAAGTCTTGTGGATGCAATGGCACTGGAAGCATCTCAGCACTGGCATGGGTCTCCATGTGGCTCCTCCAGCTCCAGAGCTCTGGCTCCATCAGGGGCCTCCATGTGGCTTGTTGGCAGGAAGACAGAGTCTGAATGTATCTGGCCTCCAGTGAGCTATTTATCTCTGGCGCCTCCAAATGAGGTCATCAAGCTGCGACCTGATGGACAGGCTAGACCCCACCCCTTTGCAAGTTGACACCAGATTCCGTAACTACCACAGGGGCATACCACTCCGCTGTAGGCCTCAGCTCAAAAGGCATTCAGCTCAAGCCCTGTGGGTCAGCAGACTCAGCTCCCTGAATTAAGTCCCCAGAGACACCCCACTCCAGTAAGCCTCAGCCAGGAGGCACTCAGCTCCCCTTCCATGGGTTAGCCAGTCCAACTCCAGCCCAGAGGCACCCCACTCTGCAAGCCAGTCTCCTGCACAAAGTGCTCCGCTGTCCTTGCTCCGCGGGTTGGTTTCCTTGTTCCGTGCTCTGGCTCCAGCTCCTCTGATGCGGTAGCTCTCAGATGGATCCAGGTTCACTGTGCAGGGATCTTGGGTCCATTCCTGGCTCTGACCAGTAATGAGATCCCTCCCCCTGCTTCTCAGAGGGCGCCGCAGGATGGCACTGCAGGAAAGTCGGTTCGCAATGACTCACAGGTGAATCCTGTCAGTCTCTTCCCCCCCAACCTTCTCAGCA